CCTGCTGACTATCCCCCCTGCCACTTACCCACCCTGCTGCCTGCACCTCCCAGCACCACCCCCACAGTGCCTGTTCCCCCCATATCTTCCCTACCCTATTTCTGCCCCTTGTGGTGTCTGAACCCTCCTTACCACTTGCCTTCTCTGCTACCTGCCCCTCCCTTACCTTCAGTCAAAGCTCCACTCCACTCCAGACCCTGAGCTGTAGTTACAGTGGTGGCAGTACCAGACCTAGCCCCAGACCTAGCCCCAGCCCTGGGACCAGATGGACTACTGCCACCATGGTGCTTTGACTTCAAAGTAGAACTATGTACTTGGAGTTCAAACTAGAGCTTTGGGATGTAAATTCAGAATGCATAAAAAGCAGATGAGGAAACAGTCTATATGACATCATATGACATCTAACTTCCATGAGACCATCTGACTTCTAGCCTGTTTCAAGCTGTTTTTATGATAAAATCCTAACTATAGCAACTATTTTATCTCACACATACATATATTTATCCAAATTATCTATAAGTGCATATTGGTATTGTCTTTTAAAGAGATCTTTGATCCCCCTAATAGTCTTTCATTACTTAAATACTTTTGTTATTTCAAGAGCAGCAAGATGCATTGCTTTTTAGAGGTTGCTGGCAGACAGTAGGAGTATGTCAAAGAGCACTGTAAAAATGCATAATAAAAGCTCTTCAAGGAAACAACTTTGTCCTTGGTGTGACATATTGCATACTGTTCCTTAATCTGTAATTTTTTTTCTGTTATCAAAAACTTTAATCCAAAGCAGATATAAGGTTACATTTTGTGGTAGGAGCAAAAATCCTAATTGATGTTGCCCCAAATTGGGGCAAGATACTTGAAACTCAGTGAAGCCCTCCACAAAATGGACAATAATAACTCTCCTTTTACTCAGAGCAAGAGAGAACACTGAGAAATAAAATAAAATGAAAACAGGAATGACCTTTATAAATGAAGGATAGGTTCAACTACTTGTAGGATTAATTCCCACGAGCAAACCTGTGTCTTGATCTGGCTGAACATTCTTATTAATGTGAATAAAATTTCCATTCTAGTGCTAGCAATTCTATAGTTGATGGTCTGTCAAAGTTTCCATCATTAACTCTTATTCTCAAGAGTTTCACTCTGTCATAAAAATACTGCTCTCAGCTATAACTTAGTCCAGAAAGCTCAGATTTGCAGCAGTAATACCATATTTGGCTTTAATCACTTCGGTGTAAAGTATATATGCACTCAATTTAAGTGTCCCTTATAAGTCAACATTCATCTATTTTTAAAAACAGTAAGTTGACAAGATTAATGTATTCTTCCTCAGCGTCATGGATACTTTCAATCTTCTTCCACATTATGCCACTTGTCCATCATTGCTCTTTTCTGAATCTAAATTTGTCATTTTCTGTGAGAGACACATTTAAAAAAAGAGAGAAAGAGCTGTGCTGTGGTTGTCTGCACTGGCATGAAGTCATGGAGTCCCCTCAGGGAAGTGCTTGCTTGGGACAACTGCAGCCTTGTCTAGTATCAGGAGTGCCCCAAAACCAGCATAGATGTGGCTTCTAGAGCAGGGGAGAAACTGGCTCCTTCCCACTCCCCAACCTTCCTTGGTTGTTCCCTGACCATGACTCAAGTTCATCTCTTGAGAGAGAGACTTTGTCTCATGTTGGGGAGAACAAGTACAACCCCCAGCTCCAAGTAGCCAAACAGCTCCACAGTAGAGGTGTTTACTGGGAGTAAACACCACTGGAACAGAGATTCACTGCCCTACCTCCAAAGGGCTAAAAATTCCTTCTGTCACCAGTCTGGCCTACACAGCACTGAGTACCCTAAAGTTATTTAGTTGTTCCCTTCCCAATCTGCAGAGCTATGTGCCTCCAAATCTATTTAGGTAACCTCCTTCTTCAGATACCTTTTTGCTCTCAAGTCCCCACCCTGTTTCTTTGCTGTTCCATCCATTGTCCTGTCTCAGTCTCCTTTTATACTTCCTGAGCATGTCCTCCAACAGATGAGTACCAAGCTCATCCAAAGCATCAACAAGGTGATTCGGGATCCCTCTTGTCTTGCAAGAAGGCAGTTCTGGCTCTTAGCAGGGACCCTACTACCCTTCTTTCCCTGTGTACTAGCTTCATAGATAATCGGAGGTGTGCAACATTATAACAACATAGAATCACAGAAAAGTAGGGTTGGAAGGGATGTCAGAATGTCATCTAGTCCAACCTTCTGCTCAAAGGAGGACTTTCCCCAACTAGATCATCCAGCCCAAGGTTTTGTCTAGCTAGGTCTTAAAAACCTCCAAGGATGGAGAGTCCACAACCTTTCTGGGTAACCTGTTCCTGTGCTTTACGACCCTCCTAGTGACAAAGTTTTTCCTAATGTCACCATACCATATTTCCAGTAATATTTCATGGCGTATAAGTTGGGGTTTGAAGCCCAATTTTGGTGTCCTAAAAATAAAACCCAACTTATACACTTTACCATTTCAAAAAAGCCTGGCCCTGTTGGCTGCAAGTGGGGCTACTGAGCATCAAGACCGATGCTGCTCTCAGGGGATGGAACTGGCTCAGTGCTTGGCTGTACCACTCACAGCAGATGGGATCTGGGACAGGGCCAGGCTCAGTGTACAGCTGCCACAGCCCCATCCCCTATGACTTTCTTTTTGTGACTCATTGGCTATGCACCATGGGTGACAGATTCCTCCTGAGTCTGGGGGGGGGACAATTTGTGGGCAGATGCAGAGGCGGGCCAAAAGCCCCATATCCACTCCTATACAACACACTGCCAGCTCGTATGGCAAAAAAACTGTTTCAGCACTAGGTGGGGGAGTACAGCACACAACTAACCTCCCCCTCCCCACACCTCCCTAAGATGCCCTCCTCCCTTGCAAGAGGCCCAGGCTCACCTTTTTCCCAGAAGCAGGAACAGCCATCTGGGGGAGGGAGGCGGGGCAGCACTCTGATGCTCTGGGCTCCAGAATGCTGTCAGGGAGGTCAGGGCTGGATAGAGAAGCAGAGCATGGTTCCTGGCCATACAATTGGGCCGTCAGGGATCCACTCCATGCCTGGCCCCATCCTGAGCGGTGCCGAGTTGGGGTGCATCAATGGGCTTCCCAGCACCTTTCAGGGCCCCCTACCAGTTGCCTGTGCTACACACAGATGATCAAAAAGCCCAAGGCAGAATTGATCAAACTTATGCAGGTTTTTGTAAGCAACAGTTAGATCTGGAGCAAACAGAACACATTTGCCCTTTGTTGTGTGGGGCATGGAAACTGTCTGCAACAGCCAAGGCCAGTAGGTTGGGGGTGCTTCCACACACCTCCCACCATTCCCCCTGGGCTCCCCAGACTGCTGGAGAATGCTGAGCTGCTGGGCCACCCCTAACTGGCTGCCAGACACAGGCGAGCATACCCCCAGTGCCTGTTACCATGGGCCTTCCCCCATGCCCAGCCCTAGGCTTCCAGGAAAGTCCCAGAGTGAGTCTCCATGACACACCTGGTGGCCCTAGCCAGTGGCAGCAGCAGGGGGCACTCTGCAGAAGGAAGAATTGGGCCACTTGGAGCTCCAGTAAATGGCAGGCAGGGGCTGCAGGTGCCTAGCAGCCCCACACCATGTGATGAGGAAAGGGGCACACCGCAGAAGGAAGGATCAAGCCCCTTGGAGCTCCAGCAAATGGCAGGCGGTGGCAGAAGGCATGTTTCATGATTAATCATGGTTAATCATGATTCCTACAATCGGGCCGGGTGCCTGCTGCTGCTGCCTACCATTTGCCAGAGCTCCAAAGGGCCCAATCCTTCCTTCTGCAGTGTCCCTTTCCTATTGCATGACATGGAGCTGTGGGACACCTGCTACCACCACCTGCAGTTTGCCAGAGCTCCCAGGAGCCTGATACTTCCTTCTGCAGAGAGCCTTCCCCTCCACCTGCCTAAGGACATGGTAGAAAAATACTGAGCTACAGACACCCCCTTCTGTTTCCTCCCCTGCCTGTGACTGACAGCTGACCACAGACAGAAGGCAGGGCTTGGCAGAGAGGCTGTGCTCACTTGGATCCATGAGCACCATGGGGCAGAGCCAGCTAGGCACTCAGCCAAAGCAGTGAAGCGCAGGCCAGCTGCAAGAATACCTCCCTGTGAGGGGAGAACTAGTGGAGGGCTGCAAAGCAGCCTGGGATGCAGCCAGACAGCAACCTAACTTGATTCAGTAGGGGATCTGATATAGAAGTTCAATATACCAATCTAACTTAAATCCATTAAATCTGAGACCACATCAATCCAGGTCTGTCTTAGGGTGGGTTCCGCCATTTTAAAACCAGTTCATACGCAGTGGACTTCTGTTCAGCTACAGGTGTAGGCCTGTTTCCAATCACTTATTTGATAAACCTGAGTGATATTTTTCTTGCAGTAGATGAGAAATTAGGCTCACTTCAATTTAAAATAAAACATACAGGTTATATTCCTTGTAGAATTCTGATCGTTAATGATGGATGCACCTTCCTACCAAGAAGAGGAGAGCAACCAGGCATTCTACAGGGAACTGGCTGAAGCAGCTAGCACTAAGGACTTGATTGTCATGGGTGATTTCAACTACCTTAACATCTGTTGGGGAAACCATTCAGCCAGCTCCAGCAGGTCAACCAACTTTTTGGCAACTATAGATGACCTGTTCTTGACACAGGCTGTGGAGAGGCCAACTAGGAGTAAAGCAACTCTGGACTTGGTGCTGACCAAAGAGGAGGATGTGGTAGGTGACCTGAAGATCGGAGGTACTCTGGGTGACAGTGATCACAATTTGATTAGATTCACCATCCACCAAAAGGCTGGGGATTCTACCAGCAGAACAGAAGTCCTAGACTTCAGAAGGGCAGACTTTGGTAAACTCAGGAGTCTAGTCAGAAAGGCCCTACACAACCAGTGACTGGACAGTTTGGGAGCTCAGGAGGCAATTCTCACTGCTGAAAAAGAGGCCATACCCACGTGGTTAAAAAGAGGGAAAGGGGCCAGGAGACCCACCTGGCTCAACAGGTACATTAGGGAACTTCTCAAAAAGAAAAAAGAAGTGTACATGCAATGGAAAAATGCTTCAGCATCCAGAGAAGAGTACACCCATATGGCCAGGGTCTGCAGACATGAGACAAGGAAAGCCAAGGCATGCATGGAAATCAAACTGGCAACCAAAATTAGAGATAATAAAAAGTCCTTCTATAGGTACATAGGGAGCAAGAAAAAAATCAGGCTTCACTCTGGCGCCCCTACTGAATATGGAGGGGAAGCCCACAGTTCATCCCCATGAAAAGGCAAAGCTCCTTAATACTTACTTCACATCAGTATTCCTGAAACCAGGTGAGAACTCATCACCTGTCCAGAGGCCCACAGAATACGGTGATGACAGCAATCCACATTAAATCAGTCCCAAACAGGTGAAGATACTCTTAGAACGTTTAGATGTTTTCAAGTCAGCTGAGCCAAATGGCTTGCATCCAAGAGTGCTGAAAGAACTGGCCGAACTCATAGTGGTGCCTCTGGTAAGGTTGCTTGAAGAGTCATGGAACTCAGGAGTGGTCCCTAATGACTGGAAGAAGGCTAATGAGGTACCCATCTTTATGAAAGGGAAGAGGGACAACCCTACTAACTATAGACCAGTCAATCTGACTTCGGTCCTGGGAAAAATGTTTGAAAAAATTATCAAGGAGGACATCAACCACAAGCTCACAACTGGTGGGATACTGGAAACAACCAGCATGGCTTTGTCATGGGAAGGTCATGCCTAACAAACCTGGTGTCCTTTTATGACCAGGTAACTCACCAGCTGGATGTGGGACAGGAGGTAGACATCATCTACCTGGACTTCAGCAAGGCCTTTGATACTGTTTCTCATGAAATTCTCTCAACCAAGTTGAAGGATACTAGCCTAAACCAGGCTACAGTGAGGTGGGTTGGCAACTGACTCAGCAGCCAATCCCAACGAGTTGTAATTGATGGGATGGCCTCATCCTGGAAGGCTGTCCCCAGTGGTGTCCCCTAGAGATCAGTGCTTGGGTCCATGCTCTTTAACATCTTTAGCTATGACCTGGATGAAGGAGTGGAAAGTGCAATGATTATGTATGTGGATGACACCAAGCTGTGGGGATGTGCAGGCACATCTGGGGAGAGGGCAAGGATCCAGGACAACCTTACGCTGGTCCTATGGACTGAGTGCAATCAGATGAGGTTCAACAGGGACAAGTGCTGGGTCCTTCATCTGGTAGGAAGAACCTTCACCATATCTATATGATGGGTGGTGGTCCACTGGCTGGCACTGCATCTGAAAGGGACCTGGGAGAGACATTTGACCAGAGAATGAATATGAACCAACAGTATGGTGAAATCACCAACAGAGCAAATAGAACTCCGGCGTGCATCAGCCCATGTGTTGCCAATAGATCCAGAGAGATGCTCCTCCCCCTCTACTCAGCACTGATAAGACCACAGCTGAAGTACTGTGTCCAGTTCTGGGCAACACACCCCAAGAATGATGTGGATAAGCTCAAATGGGTGCAGAGAAGAGGCACCCGCATGATGAAGGGCCTGGGGGATAGGCCCTATGAGGAGAGACTGTGGGATCTGGATTTGTTCAGTCCGAGTAAAAGAAGACTAGAGGGTGCCTTGATAGCTGCCTACAAGTATGTCAGGGTGAACACCAGGATCAAAGGGAGCAATTCTTCAGAAAGGCAGCTCTTGGGAGGATGAGGTCCAATGAGCACAAGCTAGTCAAGGAAAAGTTTAGGCTAGACATAAGGAAAAACTTTTATTCCATCTGGGTAACTAGAATCTGGAACACACTCCCAGCAGAGGTGGTGCAGTCACCATCCCTGGCAGTGTTCAAGAGGAAGCTAAACAACCACCTCATTGAGCTTGTCTGAGCCCAATTACCTCCTGCCCATGGCAGGGGACCAGATTTGATGATCTTACAGGTCCCTTCTGGTCCTTCTATTCTACGATTCTATGATTTTAATCTAATCCTGAAAGATGCTTTGTGGCTCCTTCAAGGTACTAAGAATCTCTTAATCCTAAAGAAGCAGAGGAAAGTCAGGAGGCCCCTTACATTTTCAGAACTTTGGTTAGAATCAGCATCTGAAACATGTTTATTCAAATTTCTTTGATTCTAAGAATAGTTGTTTGCAGCTGCAGGCACCTGAAGTTCTCCATCTGAGCATTCACAGAAGTGACTCTGTCTTGATAGTGCTGAGAAGGTCAGCCTGTCATGCCTCTTAGCCACTGGGCTGTGCCAACAGAAGCATTCAAGTAACCATTATGAAAGCAATCCATCAAACTCCACACAAAACAGCTGGAGAAGCAGATACTGTCCCCTGTTATCCAATCGCTCAGTGGTTAGAGCACTCATGTAGGAGCCAAGCACTTATCTCCCAACCTAGGGAGAGTGCTCTAACCCTCAAGCCATAGGGTATTTTGAGGTTAGGGCATTCAAAGTCCCTCCTGTTGAAGCTGTTTCCCATGTTGTACAAGATAAATATGCTCATTTAGCCTATGACAGCATGGGCCAGAGTAAGCAACTCCTATGAGCCTCTTTGGATAGGGTAGGATAGTATTATTGTATCCTAGTGGTTACAGCTCTCCCCTGAAAGTGGATCCACTGAATAATTAGCTTATTCCAGTGGTTAGGGTATTCTCTAGGGACATGAAAGGTGAAATGATTAAACATTTAACCACTAAGTATAGTGATAACTGGTTAGCTGACTGGTTATCCTTTAGCTCAGGGCAGGTGCAGTCTGGCAAGGAAACGTGGGGAAGGGAAGCCCACAGTGTCCCAGCAGGAGCCAGAAGGCATCAGGGTAGGCAGCAGGGAGGGAGGGAGAAGTGAGAAGAGGAGGACAGGACAAGGGGGAAGGGGTGAGAGGGACTAATATGCCTAAAAGGAAAACAGCCAGCAGCCTAATGACTCATCAGATCAGTTATCTGCTCCTTCACAGGTGCTTCCTTTTTCCCAGTGCAGGATTTCACATGGGCCATGTTGCCTAGCTGGGCTTACCTCTTTCCCCCTCCAGGAGCTGGGAGCCACTGCCAGAAGCAGCTGTGTCCAAGCTGCTATATTATTGGTTACACATTTAACCAATATAATTAGAGGTGGTTAAATGAATATTGTTAACATGCTATTTACACCCCTAGTAGACACATCGGAGTAAACCTGCATTCTAGTCCCTCTTTCATTGAATATTTCACTATTTTTATACTGCTATGCTCTTTCTTCCTATGGCCCAATATATATTGGACTATTTCAGGCTCTAATAATGGAGCAGCTCTAATAGAATGGATTGAAGCAACCCCTTCCCCAAAGATACCATACAGCTTAGCAATAAGGATATCTACACTCCTGAGAGACAGGAGATGTATGTTCAAATCCCTTCAGGCTGAGAAGGGACTTGAAGCCAAGTCTCCTGCATCCAGGCTGAGTGTTTCAACCAAAACGTTATTGGGTGAAAAGGGAGTATTCTTGCAGTCATCTTTCAAAAAACATACAAATAAGATCTTTCTTCCAAAAAACCTGAACATCCTACGTAAAGGGTTTGGGCCTATGAAGTCAGCTTAGGATAAGGCCTCCAAGACCCAGAGGACAACACTATTTAAAACACAACCATGTCCTCACCATTTTGTATTAACTACCTGAGGCAGGTCCCTGCTCTGTGTGTTGCTCTTGTGGATCTCTTCTTAGATGATGCGAATCCATCACTCCATGTATTGTATAGAAAGACTAGGCACCAAACTTGGATGTTGTTAAATCTAGTACAAAGCTAGCTGCTTACCGGTGAATGCTTAGTGTCGTGGTGTCCTAATGCTTAATGCTGGCTGACTAGCAAAAAGAGAGTTTATTTAAATGGGGCAGTCTCTCTCATAAAGGGAGCAATCTGGGTTACATTATTTCAAAACATGGAAACACTTACCAGGGATGATCTAGGTTTTAAACTAAAGAAGGAAAGTAGAAATCATTTGAATTTTAATAATAAACAGAATTTAACATTCAAGGCAGAGTGATCATTTGCCAATAAAGACTTGTAAGTAAAGTTGCTTCCAATAAACAAATACATTAGCAAAATACTATGGCCTCAACATCTCTGCATGAGGCAAAAAGTGGCTTCTGATTGAAACAAGCAGCTTTTGGCTTGGTAAGGGAGGGGTGCCCTTTGGGTTCCTTTAGGGGAAGTCCATACTGCCGCCAAAAACTCACCTGCTTTTGCTCCACATGCTCCAAATCTAGAACTGAGGCAGTATAGCAGGGGCATGCAATTATTTTGGGCGGAGGGACGCTTACTGAGTTTTGGCAAGCCATCGAGGGCCACATGATAGGTAGCCAGGGGCAGATAAATATTAATTTTCTAAATGTTTTAGGGGCCCCACAGGCCTGATAGAATGGCCTGGCAGGCCACATTTTGCCCACCCCTGCAGTACAGACACTCTGGGAATACCCTGCCCCCCTGCCACCCACCAACATGCCATACAGAGATCTTGAGATTTTACAGGGCTCCATCTTACTACAAGTTGACTGCTTCTGGTACCTGAACTAGCTCGTATATAGCTAGTTCAGGTATCTCTAACATGCACTGTGGCCACACATCCATGTCCATATACTACTGAGCTGAAAGTCTTGTCATTTAGCTTCATTTGTCTCTTGTTATTTATACTGGAGATTGCAAGAGAAACGAATAAAAATAAAGTAGCAAAATGTCTTTTTTTCTGGCCAAACTGAAGTGGCACTTCAAACAAATTCACAGAGGGGCCAGTCCTCAGCCCTCACAAGCTATTCCTCCATCTTAATTATTTTCCATATCTAAGAAAACCCATTGCCAAATTGGCACTGTAAGAGAATAAGTAAGTGGTTTTATTAAATCTTTCCTCGGCCATATAAAATTACCTCATGCAACAGATCAGCCTAAGGGCCACATATCCGACAGCTTGGCTTTAAAGTGCATTTCCATACAATCTGCTGTTTCCTTTTTCATTTGAGACATAAAGGTTTAGGTACCACATGTCTACAACGTACAAGAGTTCCTTTTTTTGGAGCTCTGGTTTGGTCATATATGATACAGGTCATATCATAAAGCTAAAAGGAATATAAGGGAACATGACACATTGGCAAAAACGTCAAAGCAAGAGCTATGCTATTAAGATATTCTACTTCTTTTCCAATAAAGTCTCATGAAACATATGCTATATGGAGACAATCTCACCAGACAGCCTATGTATTAAAACACAGAAATTAAAAGAGAAAGATCCACTTCACGCACCAGTCTGGGGTTTTTATATGTGCAGGCATAATCAAATGCTGGTACTAATCTGAATAAATAAAGCAAGGTCTGGATAATTGATCATGGAACAATCCATGTGAACAATATTTTTCTCCTAGTTCAATTATCAGTACAGAATTTCACCTACTCTCAGTTCCTTCTGAATGTGTACAGGTTGTTATTGCCCGCAGTTTTGCTTGAATTCAAATATACTCAAATGCACCTTAAGAACTAGTATACAAAATACAGCAACAAGAAGGAAATTAAACAGCTATCAGCTGTATGTAATTTCTGCCATATGAGATCACAAAATGGCAGTCATAGGTTAAGGCCATCTGTAGTAAGGTAAGAAGCATGGTTCCACCTACTTGCTCCTATTCTATATATCCCCAAGCCTGCTAATTAACCAGGGCAGACAGGCTAATGAAGTCCTGAGAACACACCCCACTAGTTGTTTTAAAGGCAAATCATTCTTGCTTATTAAAAATGCTTAATTATTGAAGTTTGCATTCTTGTTATGGACTATATGAATTACCCATTATTTCTGCAGCAGAATGCCAGAGACAGCAGTTCTTTCTGGGACAGGAACATATTTCAGAACTTGTTCAACTTTATTGTACAGGATTGAAGAGGTATTTTATGAAGTCGTGA